ATTATCTAAAATTTATTGCTAACATTTAGGAAGTACTACTTTTCTTCTTGGTTTAACAAACATAAGTTTAATATATTGATCCCAATGACAAAAATTTAGAAAATCTACTGTCACTACAAAATGTCCATAACATCATACAAGTATGCATTTTAATGCTTCTAATAGTATAAAAGTTGATTAGAAGCTTCTAATTCAAATAAATTTATTAGAGAATTATACTTCTAACCCTTCTAGAAGTGCTTTCAATAGTACTTTCAATCTTCCAAATGCACATCACTAGTCATTTGCATATCTATTGCATTAAGAAATTAGTATTTTAATGGTACAATTAATAAAGAAACTAACTTTAAAGATAGGCTACTTATGAATATGGATTCTTATTTTGTGTTTCCTTATATTAGTAGAAAAGAGTAATAAATTTCTTGAAATACTATTCAATATAAAGACCATTTAAATATTTGATAAATATAACAAAATAGCCTATTCAAATAATTAAGTAAAAAGATACCTTTGTATCATTTGCATCATCCAAATTTATTAAACTTTCAGCAGCAGTTCTTAATATACAATCATTATTCATTTTATCTTGCAGAGTCTTATAGCCTAAATCATTGACATTATCAATTGCATAGAAAAAGAATGTCAAAAACACGAAAGTTATTAAAGATATTTAAAATAAAATCAGAACTATATTAATTAATAATATTAAGTATAATATCTTTGCCTATCTCCTTCACCTTTTCAAATTCATTCATATAATATAAACTATCTTGTAATTCATTACCAACAGTTGTAAAAGAAGCAGATACAGATGGTTATCTTAATCTGTAAATATGAAAATATGAGAAGACATTTTTGTGATCTAAATAACATTTATTGATTCTATAACTAACTCGTTTGATGCTTTCAGAATCAGGTTGATCTTTTATATACTTGTTTGGATTAAGTTTACAAAATAATATATAATTAGATAAGCAACAGTTATTTTAATTTTATTCTTCTACTTATTTCACAATTATAACAATGTATTCATACCACTATGGTATTGACATTATCAATAGTAAAATATGTATTGATTATAGCAGTTCCTACAACTTTTGCAGTATCGCTCATTATTAAATTAAAAGCTTCTACCTGCAATTATTAGAAAAATTAGTCAATATTAGCTCATGCTGATTAAATATCAAATGTTATACATCATGTAAGTAATTCAACTTTTTTCCAAAAAAATTAACATTTAGAAAATAATCCCAATGTTCCTATTATTCACATGGATTAGTATGTCAAAACAAATTGCAATATGAATCATGATACAATAAACAAGCAGACTATAAGGTAAGCAATAAGCAAATACTACCGTAGTTATGATAGATACATTTTTCCACAACAGACAAGCAAACTGTAAGATAAAAAATAAGCAGATGCTAATTGTAGTAAATAAATTCTTACCTTAAAAGCTTTGAGTAATTGACTAATAGCCTCTTTCACTCTGTCTGAGTCATCTCTTTACAAAATATAGAGATCCCTTTTTAACTTATTTGGAAAGAGAATGTAAAGCTTTTCTGCTTTAACCGGTATTCGTAAAATCTAATAAAAGTGTATTCTTCTGAACTTCTAACCAGTAAAGCTTTCCAATATCCTGATAAGATAATTTTTTTAAGAGGAATAATGATAATACAGTAAACTCTTTCTAAATGCACCCTCCTGAGAAATTTTTTATATAATTCTAAATACTGGGACTGAACGAATGCATGCATTTAGGAGAAAATATATAATGTGTGCATTTAGAAAGATGCATTTAGAGAGAGTTAAATATTTTTTTTATACGTCTTTAGTTATAAGAAGACTTTCATGTAATTGGCTAATTAGGTTATATGAATTTTACAGTTGATATTGTAATATTTATATATGTTATGTGAGATGACCTATTAACTTGTACTTCTTATTCATTAAAATGTTTCAAATATTTTAATAAGAAATGGACAAATTCATCAATACTATTTTATAAGAACAATAAATAACAAATATATAATAAGTATAATTATAAGTTAAGATTTTAATTAGATCTATATTAATAGATAAAAAATTAGACCAGTTAGATAAATTATAATAATAAAGCAGATCTAATTTATATAAAGTATTAAAATTTAAAGAAAAATATTATAATTATACTTTTTGTTTTTTATTGTAATTTATAGAATAATAATATTATTAACTTTTTTGTTTTTTTTTCTTTAAAAATAAAGTTATAATATTATATAATTAAAATATTTTTAGTGAATTATAATTAATATATATATACTAAGAAATAAAAACTATTGTTAAGTCTGAAACACAACAGAATATCTTATGTAATCTTAGATTTATATATATATAGTCAACTCTTATTAAAACGAATTCTATATTCTAGACCTCAACTTTGCTATAAGATTATAGTGAAGATTTTAAGAGATTTGATTCTATAATAAGAGTATTTTTATTATATTTGTTCAAAAAATTCATTATATCAAGAGTTCATCATATTAAGAGTTGACTGTAGTTCTTCATTTTATTTTAAACTAATAAATTTTTAAAAAATACTTTAAAAAAAAATAAGCAATTTTTTGTAAAAAGTATAATATTTTTTATAAAGTATTATTAACGTGTAATTCTCACAAATTACGACTGTTTAATGCTCTGAACGGTTCA